TACTCAGATGCTTTCACTAGTTGATGTGGGTTTTTTAAAAATAAGTTTGAATATAGTTTGTTTTTCTCTTCTGATGTCTTCAGAAAAAATGTGGCTTCTCTTCTGAAGAAATAATTCAACATTCTTGACTCTACACCTGGTTGCAAACCATTATTACAAATTATATTTTGCAATATACTAAATAGAATATTGGTCATATAACAGTAAAGCTCATAGCCCATATTCCATTTTCCAAGTTTTAAACCTAGAAGTCCATAAGGATTTCTCTCCTGCCTTGTCTAGTTTTCTATTTACATCTGCCCACCACCAGACGTTATTACTTGACGTGGCATTGTATATTACTGCCATGTAGGTGGCATAAAGATTTATGTCCTGTTCATGAATAGTTGACAAATTCTATTTACATTTCACAATGGTTGAATGCAAATCACTTGGCCTTAATGTTTCAAAAACAAAGTTATTACTGTTTGGCATTTTTTTGGCTTGAAAAATGTTTTGCCTTTTGTTCACACACAGAAACACTATACACATACAGGCATGTGTCACATAACGAAGGGAATACGTTCTGAGAATATGTTCTTCATCATCAGGCAATTCCGTCGTTGTACAAACATCATAGAGTGCACTTACACAAACCTAGATGGTGCAGCCTACTACACACTTAGGCTATATGGTACTAATCTTAAGGGACCACTATCATGTATGCAGTCCGTCGTTAACCAAAACGTCAAGATGTGGTGCATGATTGTATATGTATTTTTTTCCTTTTAGGTTGGTTGTATGTTCTGAAGTTGACTGCCTTTATAAAGCTCTGGGCTTCATTTCTCTTTTCTTAAGATCAGTATAGTAGGCAAATAAGCATAGCTTTATTTTTCATTTGCATTGCTTATCTTCAATGTGTGATTTTTTTCCTAGAGCACTAAGTTACCCAGGCCTCTGACTGATGCACTTGCTGTCTTGCATAATGATTTGTAACTGACTTTCTCATTTGTCTTCACAATTTCATCTTTCACAGACTGAAGTCATTTCCAAACACATCAGATTATATCATTTCAGAGATCAGATATTTAGTTCTTTTAAGCCTCAGGCCTCTCTGTACATGAACTACTCTGCTTCGTGTAGTCTATTTACTTTTATGCTTAAAATATATTTTAGACCTTACTTTAAATATTGCATGGAATTGGCAATGTGCTTCTACACAGTAGTTGGATTTCACAGTACTAGTGTAGGGTTTAACATCTAAGCAGTGCTTGAGGGGGTTCCGGGCTGGGGCTAAGGATGCACCCCTGCTCTACTATCCTAGCAGAACCCACAGCAAGTGCTCAAAAATGCTTTTTGACTGGTACAGATAGAGTGGCTTCTGGATGATATGGAAAATAAACAACTTCGCCAGATAGTAAGATTGACTTTGAAAGCACAGGAATCCAAGGACAACATATCCCAGATTTGGCTTAAAAATCTATCTATTTTTTTTTCCAGTTCTGCATCTCAACTGTAAATGTAATAAACCAAAGGCTTTGCTAAGCAGGGAGAGGGATTCAATTTTGATTTTTCAAGATATTATGGTCTCGGCTTCAAGTTCAAAAACCACAGTACAAATGTTAGACAAAAATATTGAGCAGAAATCATAATTAGGCCAAACCAGTTTCCACGGCCATCTCCTCCAAACTAAAGCGTTGGTTAAAGAAAGAAGGAAGAGAGACTAGAAAGCAAGTGAGTTGAGTTTGAAAGATTATGCCCAGGGAACTCACAATCTCAGGGCAAGTCATGCATGAAGTGGAACCACTGAGCCTTCTTTAATGTTGAGAATCTGAAAGTAGGGTGGACCCGTACCTTCCTTCCTAGGTCAAGCACGGTACAGCAGAAGTAGAACAGAAACGGCCGCATGGCTGGTCAGTCTAAGAATTGCAGAGCAAGAGACAACTGCCTGAGATTCCTGTGGCACCTGTGGACAGGAGAGTGTTTGAAAGTCTCCTGGACTCCCCAAAAGGGTCTGAACGTTTGCTCCAAGGCAGAATCCTCAGGTGCAAGGGAGGTCTCATAGACTAAGCATAGGATGATACAGTATGGACCTTCCTGTCAGAGGCCAGATGAAGGAAGACACTGTACAAAATGGCATAACAGAAGAGGACCACACAGAATGAACTACATCCTATCATAGGACTTAGATCAAGATCTAAAAGAAGATACTTTCTACTCCCTAAGATGATGAAATTTGCACATTTTCTCCTTTCCATTTTGATTGAGTTTAAACTTAAGTGATTGATGAAATTATTCCACTCAGTTTACCTGAAATTGACTAAATGACATTTTCTAAATTACTGTGAATGTGCTGTCACATATTGCTAAGAGCACCAACTCTGGAACAAGATCCACTGGATTCAGATCTTAGCTTTGCCTAGGATTTGTGACATTAGGCAAATCACATTATCTCTCTGCATCTTTTTCCTCATATATATTGAAAAATAATAGTGATTTACTTATACTTATTTAAACTATTGTAAAAGTTAAATGAGTTGACATATATAATGTGCCTAGAAAAGTACTTATTGCAGGGGCTGGCCCTGAGGCCTAGTGGTTAATTTCGTGTGCTCTGCTCAGCAGCCTGGGTTCACAGATTTGGATCCAAGAGGCAGACATACACCACTTGTCACCCATGCTGTGGCAGTGACCCACATACAAAGTAGAGGAAGATTGGCACAGATGTTAGGTCAGGGCGAATCTTCCTCAAGCAAAAAGAGAAAGATTGACAATAGATGTGAGTTCAGGGCAAATCTTCCTCAGCAAAAAGAAAAAAAAAAAAGTACCTATTGTAAGTGCCACATATACATATATAATTATTTTCTTTTATTCTGCATCCAATGGAATGGGTGCTGAAGACAGAATCTAATTTTAAATAGTATGCTTTTTCCACACCAAGTTTCTAGTGTGTTAAATACGTAAATGCAACTTAAATAAATTAATACTACAGAATTTTAGAGAAGAAATACAATTAAAGACCACTTAGTTCAAGAATTATTTTTAAAGATAAGGAGAATGATATTTAGAAAGGTCAAATAATTTTCCCATGGTCATATATCTAATAAATCTTAGAAGTGGGATCCAAATTCAGGTTATCATTTATTCAGTCAATGTGCCAGGTACTGTGCTACATCTGGAAATAGAGCAGTATGCAAGGCATATGTAGGCCTTACCTCACAGAGTTTACAATATACCAGGAAATATACCTGGAAAGACAGCAGTGTATTATAATAGGAGAAATATATGGTGCTGTATTGCTAGGAGCCAAGCAAATATTTTAAAGGAAATGACTTGAAGCCAAAATCCAAATGAAGAGTGGGATTTAGACAGATGAAGGGGTGAAGTTAGAATACTTTAGGACAAGGGAGAGGTTTGTAAGAGGTCCCAGAGTTGAGAAAGAATATAATTTATTCAAGAAGTTGACATAAATTTAGTATATGTTAGCAAAGAATGCAGAAAGAGGAGGTGAAGAAAATAGTAGCAGATATAATGAGATTCTTGGGTGGTCTTGTAAACTGTGGTGAGAAATGTGGACTTAGTCTTAAAGGCAACGAAAACTATCAAAGCTTTTAAGTAGAGAATCAAAGATAGATTTCCCCTGTTGGAGGATCCTTCTAAAAACCATAGAAGAGACTAAGGAGGGAAAGATGAGGGTTAGGGAGACCAATTAAGAGACTGCTGTACCCAAGAAGGAAAACTAAGTCTTCTATCTTAATATCCTTTGCTCTTTTGAATGTCATTGCAGTAAGAAAACAGGAAAGATGGAATGGGGAAGTAAACTAAAAACAATTCTTGCTTTCTTTAAGTCATCTTCAACCCTTTTCAGACAGATCAGAGATTGTTAGAGTGAGAAGTGACCTTAAGAGAACCAGCCTTTGGATTGGATAGAGAAGCTGCATGTTTTGCTCATGTTCTATTAAATGGCAGAGTCAGAACTAAATCTCAGATCTAACCTGGCACCCAGTGCCCTCCACTGCATCGTCCTGAAATAAAGAGCCTAGAATGAAGGCGGAGCCACAGCAGGCTGAGAGGCCTGGAATCCCGAGCAGACCATCCTGAAAAGAGAAGCTCCAACAGACCCCAGGGTCCCAGCAACCTGGGCCAGAGGCTGCACTTCTCTCAACTGAAAAGGTATTGCTCTGAAGGCTTGTGTCCTGAGTATTAGAATATGGTTTTCCCTCCTCATGGGGAAATTCTCAGCTAAAATTAGTTTGAGATTCAAACTCAGTGAATAACATAGTTCATAGCAGTATGGAAAATAGTCTAATAGTACACTTACGGAAAATTTGAAATGAGTAGCCAATTGCTCTCAACAAATTTGAAATGAGTAGCCAATTGCTCTCAACAATCTAATTGTCAGGTTGCCTCAGTGGTTAGGGAAAAAATTTTATGCTAAACTCAGATCTTCCTGTCTATAATTTTTCCTCCCTGGTCTGATTTTTCCAATCTGCCTCAAATGCATCTTGCAAATAGGGAGGAAATAATAAAGGGAGGAAATAAATACGGGGGAAATAATACAGCTCAGCCCTCTGGAACCTCTGAAAGCCAGGCTTGGCTTATCTTCCAGTTGAATAAAAAACATTTGAGGCCAACCCTGGGCTTGGCAAATGAGGTCAGTTAATTCAGGCTCACCTTGGGAGCAAATTTTTTATTCAAAATAATCTGGTTCTCTAATAGTGTCTACGTTAAAGAGATGGATAGCCAGGAGACTAAATGTCCCAGAGTTCCAGAAAACACATTCAGAGACAAGGCCTAGAAGAACAAAGCAATGACAACCAACCGAGGGCCTGCTCCACTGCAACCCCTGGCTCTCTGAAGTCTTTCTGGAAAAGGGCAAAGTCTGTTGTCCTATTGGCCTAGTGCGTCCAGAAGAGTATCAGCATGGTGGTGACACTGTGACACAAACAATCCTAATGTATTCTAGAACTGCTTTAGACTTGAGGCTTGGGATTCACAAACACCCACACCCACCTCTTTTACTGAGTTCCCAGCACCCAATCATCACTGCAGCAAGTCAGTCTCCTTTAAGCCTGGATGACAAGAGAAGAGGTCCAAATCTAAGGATTTCACTTACTCCCTCCTCTGCAGACCATGCAGGTTTGGGTTTTCTCTTAGGAGGATGTCAAGGTCTGAAATGATCTCAAACATCTGTCATATAAACAGGAAGAGATTTATTATCTTCTGCCAAAGGACTATGATAACAGAAATATTAAATGTGTCAACAGAGGTGGGTCTCAGCTTGTGGTAGCTTTGGATTGTGAATACCAGTAAATCTTTAATCAAAAAAACAAAATCATTAATTCACAGTCATTACTGAGTTAGGCATTCATCCTAAGGATGCAGCCAAGATAAAGCATTTCAGAGATGAGTGCTTTAATGGTGAAATAACAAAGACATCTATATCCCCTGACCCCCACTCTCCAAGAGTTCACTTGATCAACTGTATAGCTTTGATAGACATAAAATGGTGACACTCAAAATGACTCCAGGCTGTTTATTCATTAGTTTGTCTAAGCATGTAATATAATTGCTCCTCCAACCAAGAGCGAACTAAGAGATGGTTGATAGATGCTGCTACTGGCTAGGATTCAGTCTGGGACAGGTTGTTACCATTGTAATGCTGTACAGGTTCATAATTAGACATGGGATATGAGAAGCTAAGAAGTTAAGAACCTGAAAATAGAAGGATTTGGGGGAAACAGGCCATCTCTGTTCTTTGCGTTTTGCTGATATATTTTCCTGGAATCTCTTTGGATTGAGAACCAGGGTCATTTTCCTAGTTATAAAATCAGAGTATTAGCCTAGGCATTTAAAATGGCCTGTGCTAGTGTGTGTGTGTGTGTGTGTGTGCATCTCTGCACACATGTGCTTGTACATGCACACACTAAGCATTAGAACAAGATTTGCCTCATTTCTGGGGAAAAGAGCATCAAGTTCTTTCTTAGTCCACCCCCAGCAAGATCCAGTTCACTCCACAATGATTAGGTTCAGCTGACAGCTCCTTAGGGAGCACTAGTGCCCATACTACTCAACCAAAAAGTGGTAAAGAGGATTACTGTTTCCAATTCTTCACTTCCTCTTTGCTAGAGAATAATACTTAACACTGTTCGCCATAGGACTTTGCAGAACCTCCCGTTAGAGTGAGCCATGTAATTTGCTTCAGCCAAAGAAACATCAGTCAGTGTAATGTGAGCAGAGGCTTTAAACACGCTTGCATAACTTGGTTTGGCTCCTGGCATATCTGCCATCATGATGAGAAAAGCATGTCCCTAGTAGTTACTCATCCCAGAAAGGAGTCGTGTAGGGCAGAACAAAAGCCAGCTTACAACCCAGAGCCAAATTCAGCAGAAGCCTAGCCAACCCGTAGACTCATGAGCCACAAAAATAAGTGTCTATTGTTGTAAACTGCTAACAGCTTGTAAGCTTTTTAAAAGTTATTTGTTATACAGCTTTATTGCTGCAGTACCGTGCTTGAGCACAGTAGGGTACCCAAGTTCAAAATGTATATATCTCCACACAAGCAAGTGAATGAGAGAGAAATGATCTTCATATTGTCTGACTAGACTACCTAAGAGCCCGAATAGTCCATTAAATTGTTTACATCTTTTTATTTTACATCGTTCTCTCAATAGGAGAAATAGGTTAAAATGTGAAAGAAAACCAAAAGAGGAAAAAAGAAAAACAAAAACTCTTCAGGTTCTCTAGTCAGGTCACAAATAAATTTTCGCTGAAAACACTAGATTTTATCCTGTTAGAAAAGCTTTTACTGAAAACTAAACTGTTTTCTTAAAACTAGTCAACCTTTCCTGATTTCTTCAGGAAAATTTTTTGATGGGAAATATTACAGTTTACTATAGAAAATGTATTTTAATTGTTTCTACAATAATTGTGATGGCAGATGTTTTAATGAAGGGATAAAGACAGAAAGTAGCCCTTACCTCTGTCTAATAAGTGACTGAGCACTTTTTCATCTCAAGAAAATCTAATAAGTTACTGAGTTGACACCTCTAAAATGGTCAATGTAATCCTTTTAGACAATTCGTAATCAATGGGAAATTCTCTACACAAAATTCAGTGGTAGAAAACAAGTATTGAATGTCAAGGCAACTGAAGTGGCCAGACCGTAGGTTGATTGCAATCTCTTGGGTCTAGAAAAATCAAAGAAAGGACTCCTCATCTCCACCATGTTCTAGGCCTCCCAAGTACAGGAATCCAGGACTCAGCTCCTTTCCTGGACCCTGCATACAGGCTTTCCCCCACAGTTTACCAGACATGGACCAAGCCAAGCCTTGGGAAACTGATGGACGTCACTCAGCTCTTCACAGATCATGAGTGCCCACCACCTCAGACCACTTTCCCAACATCAACTCCTGGACTCTTATGGAGCATTGCAACCTATCTTTGTCCTCACTGTCCACTTCCTATGACCTTTTGTGTCTCAAGGAAACCTGCTTATTCTCCAAAGACACTCTTTTTCTCTAGCTTACCTTAAAAACCCATTACCCTTCTAATTTTTTGACAATAGACCCTAATGGTCCATTAGAGCCAGTGCGGGAATGAAGCCAAGAATAATCCTTCCAGTGCTGCCAAGAAAGAGGAAAAAATAGAAAATTTAAGGTCAATATTAAAATAGTGTGACTCTCCATATCCTGTGAAAGATATTTTAGGTCACTTAAACCATATAACAAAACAAAGCGTTAGATTTTTTTTTTACTTATTTTGCCATCAAAGAAATGGATATTCAGAGAGGCTAAATAGCTTGTCCAAATTCATGCAACTAGTAAATGATGATGCTAGAATTTGAACTAAGCATTTTTTTTTTTTTTTTAAAAGTCATATAAATCAGTCCCTTTTTTATAGGTAGGGAAGACACAGCTGGAAGAAAAACATCAACAGCTGACTTGTAATCTTTGTTCTTGCCTCAAGGACACCTGAGGAATTGATCCTTGATTGAATCTTCCTGTTAAAGAGACTTCCGGAGCGGGGCATCTCCGAACTGAGATGGTCTGCATTCACCAACTCTTCTCTTCTGCGACCACATGCATCCCAAGTGGGTAGCACCTGGGATATTTGCAAGCTGTGCCTTGAAAACAAAAGCCCTCCACTACATTGTTGCCATGCATGTTGCATTGTTGCCTATTCTGTACTCTTTCTTAAAGCTAAGCAAATGTGGTGACGGGTAAAGCCTATGGTATCTTATGAGTCTGACTGGCAGTCTGAACCCAATACCATGCTGCTGGTTGAGTGCAGTGGATTTTGCAGAGGCGAGAGAGGCTGATTTGGCCCCACAGCTTGCTCACTATAGAATCTTGATAAATACACAGGCTCATGCCTCCTAATTCTAGGTACGCTCTGCTACGTTAGTATAGTAACCTCAAATGACTTCAAAGTAGCAGAAGCATTCATCTTTACTAGATGATGTTATATGTATATTCAGTTCCTATTAAATCTTCAGGACCTATGTGAAGCCATACAACTTTTCATAAAGATTTCACAAATTGTTCTGTAATGGATACAAAGGCATATCTTAGAGATAATGCAAGTTCAGTTCCAGACCACGACAATAAAGTGAGTCACATGAATTTTTTGGTTTCCCATCACATGCAAAAGTTATGTTTACACTATACTGTAGTCTATTAAATGTGAAATAGCATTATGTCTAAAAAACAATATCCATAACTTAATTAAAAAATAATTTGTTGCTACAAAATGCTAACCATCATCTGAGCCTTCAGCAAGTCATAATTTTTTTGCTGGTGGAAGGTCTTGCCTGTATGTTGATGGCTACTGACTGATCAGAGTGGTGGTTGCTGAAGGCTGGGGTGGCTGTGGCAATTTCTTAAAATAAGACAACAACGAAGTTTGCCATATCAATTGACTCTTCCTGTCATGAAGGATTTCTGTGTAGCATGTGATGCTATTTGATAGCATTTTACCCACAGTAGAACTTCTTTCAACATTGGACTCAATTCTCTCAAACTCTGCCACTGCTTTATCAACTAAGTTATGTGATATTCTAAATGCTTTGTTGTCATTTCAACAATCTTCACAGCATCTACACTAGGAGTAGCTTCCATCTCAAGAAACCACTTACTTTGATCACCCATAAGAAGCAACTCCTCATCCAGTAAAGTTTTATCACCAGATTGCAGCCATTCAGTCGCATCTTCAGGCTCCACTTCTAATTCTAGTTCTCCTGCTATCTCCACCACATCTGCGGTCACTTCCTCCTCTGAAGTCATGAACCTCTCAACATCATCCACAAGGGCTGGAATCAACTTCTTCCAAATTCTTGTTAATGTTGATATTTTGACGTCTTCCCATGAATCACAAATGTTCTTAATGCCATCTAGAATGGCCAATCCTTTCCAGAAAGTTTTCAATTTACTTTGCCCACATCCATCAAAGGATTCACTACCTGTGGCAGCTATAGCCTTACAAAATGTGTTTCTTAAATAACAAGATTTGAAAGTCAAAATTACTCCTTGATCCTTGGGCTGTGGAATGGATGTTGTGTTAGCAGGCATGAAAACATTCATCTCATACATCTCCATCAGAGCTCCTGGGTGACCAGGTGCATTGTCAATGAGCAGTAAAATTCTGAAAGGAATCTTTCTTCTCTGAGCAGTAGGCCTCAACAGTGGGCTTAAACTATTCAGTAAACCACATAGTAAATAGATGTGCTGTCATCCAGGCTTTGTTGTTCTATTTAGAGAGCATAGGCAAAGTAGATTCAGCATAATTCTTAAGGGCCCTAGGATTTCCAGAGTGGTAAATGAGCAGTGACTTCTCCTTTCCAGCCATAAAAGTCCTAGACGGCATCTTTTTCCAATATAAGTCTGTTTTGTCTTCACTGAAAATCTGTTGTTTAATGTAACCACCTTCACTAATTATCTTAGCTAGATCTTCTGGATAACTTGCTGCAGCTTCTGCATCAGCACTTGCTGCTCACCTTGCACTTTTATGTTACGGAGACAGCTTCTTTCATTAAACCTCACGAACCAACCTCTGCTGGCTTCAATCTTTTCTTCAGCTTCCTTGCCTCTCTCAGCCTGCATAGAATTCAAGAGACTTGGGCCTTGCTCTGGATTAGGCTTTGGCTTAAAGAAATATTGCGGCTGGTTTGATCTTCTACCCACAGCACTAAAACTTTTTCCAGGTCAGCAACAAGGCTAGTTTGCCTTATCACTCATGTGTTCACTGGAGTAGCACTTTTAATTTCCTTCCAGAACTTTCCCTCTGCATTCAGAACTTGGCTAACCGTTTGGTGCAAGAGGCCTAACTTTTGCCCTTTCTTAGCTTTAGACATGCCTTCCTCACTAAGCTTAATCATTTCTAGCTTCTAATTTAAAGTGATAGATGCATGACTCTTCACTTGAACATTTAGAGGTCAATATTTTAGGGTTATTAATTGGCCTAATTTCAATATTTTTGTGTCTCAGGGAATAGGGAGGCCTGAAGAGAGGGAGAGAGATGCAGGAGCAGCCAGTCAGCAGAGCAGTCCGAACACACACAACATTTATTGATTAAGTTTGCCATTTCATATGTGCATGTTCTTGGTGCCCCAAAATAATTACATTAGTAACATCACAGATCACCCGAATAAATATAATAATAATGACAAAGTTTGAAATACTGGAAGAATTGCCAAAAGATGACACAGAGACACAAAGTGAGCAAATGCTGTTGGAAGAATGGCACCGATAGACTTGCTTAACACAGGGTTGGCGCAAACCTTCAACTTGTAAACAACACAGTATCTGCGAAGTGCAGTAAAGCAAAGCACAATACGACAAGGCATGCCTATACCATTGCCTGCTTCCTGCCTCCCACATCATCTCTCTCCTATATGAGGCATTTGAACATTCAATTATCTTCTGCCTCATGTTGTTCTCTAACTGTTCCGTGTCACTCCTCCTCCCCCCACCCACTACACAGTGAGGCCTTCAAGGGCAAGAAATATAATTTACATTTCTTTAGACACTTGAAAAGTGCCTAGCCCAGTATTTGACATTTACCAAGTACTCAGTATGGACTTCTTGAATGAATGAAGCACAGTCAAGATTTTTAAACCTGTAATGGAACATACTCAGACATCCATAATTTAAAACACATTTTCAGTTAGAAATCAAATGATATAGCAGGTCTAATTAAATTGAATTCTTTTTAGAAAAGTTACCAAGTCAAAACATTTAACCTTGAGAAGAAAGGTCCTGACACCTCCATTAAACAAATTATTAGATACATAAAGGAGGCAAAAAGTAGGGTCCCTATTATCACCAGTCAATTTCTAAAGCACGTTAATTTTGTTTTGGCTAAACCTAGTCTTACAATAAAATTAGAAAACCGTTTTGCTCCAAAAAATATTGTATCATTTTCTTCCCTATTTATTTGAGTGGAGCTGAAGTCAAGAAGTTTATTTATGTTTAATAACTTACAACACATTGCACCTTTGAATGACACACTGTCTTTATTTGCCGTCAGCATCTCTAATGCCAGCACATCTCTGAAGTGAGTGTTTGTTAAAGTAACAACTTCTGCAAACATAGTACTAAGAATGCTGATTTTCCATAACGTGTTCTGAAAACAGTAGGATTTTTTTTTCTTTTAAACAGAGTAGTGATTTTTTTTCAAAATAATCTGTTTTTATTTGCCGCTCAGCTAAATTTTCAGCTAAGAAATCTTTTACTCCATTCCTTAAAGATGATAATCAACAGCAAGATGAATATTTTTTTAAAAAAGAATTTCTAAGCATCCTTTACCTGTACCAGGTAGCCTGGCCAATTTTTCTAGTCATCCTTTAAAATTTTCAACAGTGAGACTTTCAAATCCATTTGTAACTAAAACAGAAAATGGCTAGGAATTAGAAATACACATATACCTCCTTTTAGTGCACTTCACTTTATTGAACTTCATAGACACTGAATTTTTATAAGAACCTCCATCAGTAAAAACATTTTGACTCACTGAAGGCTCAGATGATGGTTAGCATTTTTTAGCAACAAAGCATTTTTTTTAAGATGTTTTTATTTTTCCTTTTTCTCCCCAAAGCCCCCCGGTACATAGTTGAATATTTTTAGTTGTGCGTCCTTCTAGTTGTGGCAGGTGGGATGCTGCCTCAGCATGGCCTGATGAGTGGTGCCATGTCTGCGCCCAGGATCCGAACCAGCAACACCCCCAGCCACGAAGCAGAGTGCGTGAACTTAACCACTCGGCCACAGGGCCGGCCCCCTAAAATATTTTTTAATTAAGATATGTACATTGTTTTTCAGATATAACACTATTGCACACTTAGTAGATTACAGTATAGTGTAAATTTAAATTTGATATGCACTGGGAAACCAAAAAATTCATGTGACTCACTTTATTGAGATATTTCCTTTTTTGCAGTTGTCTGGAACTGAATTTGCAATATTTCTGAGGTATGCCTGTAGCTGCATTTCTTTAAGTATTCTAATCACACTGAAGTAACAATACAGTTTAATTGCATTACAGGAAATTACTGAAATTCCCTCCATTGGCCATTCTAGAAGTAGTAAAAGAGATGAAGATTGCATAGTATATCTGTAACCCTAAGTTTTCTTATGCATAAAATTGCAAAAGATTATTTTCTCTAGAAATGGCATTTATATCAATCATTTGAATGAATGTTAAAGGATTCTTCTGGGAAAATTAATTAAATAAATATCTTTATTAATATAAAGAAGTTAAAATCAAAATACAATGCAATCATAATAATAAAGGTAAAATTTCTAACACATCCAGAAATTAGAAGAGTGTTTACTAAAGTATTTCCAAAGAAGTTTGTACTGTAACCATGAAATATGCTTGCTAAAAATTGATAGTGAGGGGACAGCCTGGTCGTGCAGTGGTTAAGTTCGCATGTTCTGTTTCAGTGGCCCTGGGTTTGCCAGTTCGAATCCTAGGCACAGACCTATGCAGCGCTTATCAAGCCATGCTGTGGCAGGCATCCCACATATAAAGTAGTAAAGATGGACATAGATGTTAGCTCAGGGCCAGTCTTCCTCAGCAAAAAGAGGAGGATTGGCAGTGGATGTTAACTTGGCTAATCTTACTCAAGTAAAAAAAAAAAAGAAGAAGAAGAGGGTTGGCAATGGATGTTACCTCAGGGAGAATCTTCCTCATACACACAAAAAATTGATAGTGATATT